GGTGTGTTAACTCAGCAAAATATTCTAAAAGAGTCCAGTAGTCCGTAATAGTATTGGGTTTTCCACTTCACAAGCAGTGTCAGAAATTGTTGACCTGAGTCCCCTACAGCTCACCATAACAGCATGGCTTTACTTCTTATATATCGTTTTTATACTTTTCTGCTGGTTGGTTAAGACCAAAGTAAAGCAGGACCTATGCAACAAGAGTTGTAGCTTTTGGGTCTGATAAGGTCAGTGAAATCCCCTCAGGATTTATCCTGAGATTCTGTACCTCAGCTTGTAGATCCATTGTCAGTGTCAGCCATGTGGATGAGTCACGGCCATTGCTTGACCAATGTACTCTCTGTGAAAGCCTGAGAGAATGTTTTCTCTCCATGTGACTCTCCTTAGGCACACTCTACATCATCGATCACTTTCCTCTTTGGCCCCATAATCTCCTTGATTAGAAAATTTGGGACACTACTGAGTTACATGACGTTACAGTACAAGTTCTCCTATGTCCTGAGTCTTAATTGACCTTGGAAGGCTAGGGCCAAAAAGTTGGCTTTCCTTGAGGCCCTCCTTTTTCTCTAATTTTAGTCTGCAAACTTAGGTTGTTAAGGAGAAGGTTATTGTTATTACCATACAACCTAGGCTGTTAAGCTTAACATCACTATCTGTCTGAATATCAAACATCTTAGGCATCACATGGAACAGGTATTTTTCGTCAAGTATTGACATGAACCCCCTGCTGTTGAACTGTGAGTCAGACCTCACCTAGAGAAGCTTGGTAGCTACTCCCGGAAGTTTGTGATCCGGCTCCTCCCGGTGGATGATTGGCAGCCTTGCCCCTGGGCTGTCTGGCTGTGTTGGTCCCAGCTTTTCTAGTAGCCAGTAGATCTCTGCTGCCTCCTGCTGCAAACACCATGCATGGTTTCTTGGCAGGCTAGCAAGTGTAATTTGACAGTGGAAGACAGTAGAGAGGAAAGCTAGTAAAGGTTCCTATTACTTATTTGTCAGATTTTCCAAGGGGTAATCTATCCTTGGACCTGAAGCTAGACTGTTTTTATTTTTTCGTTGTTTTTCCATCAGGTTGTTATTCTGCTCAGCAGTTAGCGGCTTACCTATCAGTGTCAGTGTGAGGAACTTTTAATACTTCAAAATTTACTGGTTGAGAACAGAAATATTATTTTTGTAAGTAAAATCATTCCTGTTAGCTATATCTAAAGACTTTAAAAAAAATGTTCAAAATTAAAAGAAACTGTAAAGTCAAAGTTTTATTGCTGAGATGCCCCATAAAAGTTACCAACTAAGCCTAAAAGTTTTATATTAGAGATTGAGGCAACAACTAAGAAATTATAGTTGTCTTGTATCAGTACAAGACAAGACAACTTAGGCTTAGTTTAGTTTCACTTCTTGTTTTGTTTTATTCCTCTGTGCTAGATCTTGCTTGTTTGTGGTTTGCTTTTTAGGAAATTTTTAAATCTTACTGGATATGTCTCCTCCTTTCATAGAAAAAAAAAAGGAAGCTCAGAGTGAAACACCTTTCCAAGATTATGAATGAAGTTTAAAGGTGGTCTTAGTCCCAAGGTTATGTTTCGCCTATGCTGCATCTCTTTAATGATTTGTATTTGTTAATTAGCCCAGTGGTGTCAGGTCTTTCAATTGTATTTATTATCAGACATAGCCATTGCTTTTAAGGAAGGGTAGCCCATCTGAATCCAATAGTATTTTAGAAATCTGCACCCCTAAATTCCTATTGAGAACACTTTGGTTTGAGTACACCATTGGGAATTCCTGTTAACATATTTGCATACTGAGTCAATTAGCTTTTATCTGTATAGCTTTCCACACAGTGAAAGTCTTTTATGTGTGAAAGCAGCAAAGGTGGAAAGATAAGGGCAATCCCCGTGCATGTAAAGCCTGCGGGAAGGTATCTTAACTTCCAAAACAAGATCCTGGCATTCTTACTTCGGGTCAATATCCGATAAGTGAAAGGAAATTTCAGTTGAAGTAATTTTAAATGGTTTCAAATTCCTTCAAAATGTTGTTTCTTTTGGCCTCCAGGGAGATACTCAGTGGCATAAGCACCTGCCTGGTGAGCTCAAGGTCCTTTGTTCAATTCCCTATACCAAAAAAAAGTTGTTTCTTTTGCCTTTATAGTTTGTGTCATGTCTACTCATTAATTTCTTGTACTTCTCAATCTTTCTTATGTTTTGATGATAAACACTCTGCATCATTAATTGTACAAGGAAGATAATGTGTCTGAGTAGCATATAAGCCCACTGGACTATGTTCCCCTTATAAGTATAACCTTTTTTATGGAACTACATAATATTTTCTTTTTTTTTTTTTTTCATAATATTTTCTTACTGTTGGTCCTTTGACATTTTAACATAACTTAAAAATATAATTGAAGTATTATTTTTTAAGCAATAGGTTTTTAAAAATTCAGTCTTGAGTCAAGTTGTTTTTCCCTTTAATTTTGCTCATACTTAACTAGAAAGTAGTATCTTCCCTATCTTCTTAAAATAGATTTGTTGTGTGTGAAATTCATCTTGGGTTTTCTTTTGATCAGTCCCCAGTCTCCCTTCCCCCTTCCCAGGCCCCCAGGCCCCATTCCCTGATGCGAGAGAGTAAGCTGAGGACACCCGCAAGACCAGGACCTTTGTTTCCGGGTGCTTGCTGGTGCCGCAGGTCAGGTTCAGCTGGTGCTCTTTCTGTGAGTTCATATAAAAGCACTTCCTAAGGAAAACTTATCCTAAGTGAGTGTGGGGGTTTTAATACTTGTGCAAGAGACAGATAACCTTTATTCATTTTCCTAATCAAGTCTCTGTTCTTTCACCCTTTGTAATGATTGACCTTGAAGGTAAATTAGGAGGTACACCAGGTAGGCAGAAACATTGGGGTTTTGCTGGGAGTTTTCCATTGTTGGATGATGTTGTATCTTCTCATTATTTCTTTCACACTTACTGTTTCTTTGTGGACGAGATGCCCGTGTGACTTATGTTTGAAAGGTAATGCATTTGTTGAGACTTCAGAATTTTTAGTGTATGGAACTGTATTTTAAAACTATATTTTGATTATTGAAATTATTCTTTGGTGAAAATACCTTGAGAAAAATATTGGCCTTACATTTAGGTCACTGACACTCTATGAGGTTTTGTGATAAGTATGTAAATATTTGGGCTTAATACTTTGTATTAATCCCACAGCATTATCTAGATACTGACTTTTTATTAGTGCATGCTTATATTTCACAGTATTGATGTTGATGTTCATTTTGGGAAACTGTTACATGTGTATAGCACATCTTGTTCATTTTCAGACCTTTAATCCCTCTTCCCAGAGACCACTTCCCCAGGATATTTTATGCCATATGGTTGTATGATCTGTTTACCTTTTCCTTTTTTCTTTTCTTTTCTTTCTTTTTTTTTGGGGGGGGGGGCTGGCTCAGAATGCCTTCAGGGCAGGTTTGGCTGGCTGGAGTTGTGGGGTTCGAACCACAGCAACCTGAAGCTGACTGCTTTATTGAAGCAGCCACTTAAACAACTGAGCTAAGGGGCAGGCCCCATCCTTCTTTTTCTATAATATTGAAAATGTATGCAGATCATTAGCCACTAGACTTTACTGTATTTTTTTGGTTGAATTGTTTTTTAGTGGAGGTTTATTTTTGTTTTGGGGGCCAAGGACTGAAACCAGGGCTTCCAGCTTGCTAGGCAAGTGTTCTACCGCTGAGCCACAAGAGAAGTGCAGATCAAAACTAACGTATTAGCTGGATGTGATAGCATGTTTGTAGTGCCGGCTACTCCTGAGAAAGGAAGATCACTAAGCTCAAGAGTTCAAGACCATCTTGAGCAACATAGTGAGTTGCTGTCTCACAAAAACAAAAACCACCCTGAAATGAGATGATATGTCATGCTCACTAGAGTGACTAAAATAAAAACATACATACATACATCACCCACATAATGTCTATCTATCTGCCTATCTAGTGGGAATATAAAATGGTGACACAACTGTGTAAAACATGTTACAACTCATCTGAAGGCAAATATAGATATAAATAGTCTCAAAGCATTAATCAGCCAGTTAATAAAATAGAAGAGTTCACAAATCACATACTCAATTGAAGCGAATTTATTTTATAGGTAAAAAGATATGTCCAAACAAAGACTAATACATGAGTGTGCTCAGCAGTAGTATTGTCACTAGCCAAGAAGTGGAAACAGTCCACTTGTCCATCAAATGAATGAATAAAATAAGTCACATATCCACCTGGTGGCTCACACCTAATCCCAGTACTTGAGAATCTGAAGCAGGAGGATAGCCATGAATACCAGGTCAGCCTAGGCTACATAGTGAGTTCAAGGCCAGACTGAACTACATAGGGAGATTCTCACTCCAAAAAAACCAAAAAACAAAACAAAAAGAAAAGTCACATGTCCATACAATGGGGAATCATTTGGTAGTAAAATGAAATGAAATACAGATACATCCTAAATCAGAATGAATCTTTTGACATTATGCTGGTTATGGAAGACTACTCTGTATGGGTCCATTTAAATGAAAATGTCCAGAATCTGCAAGTAGATTAGTGATTTGTTAGGACCAAAAGAGTTGGAGGGTTTCTCAATAAAATTATGGGGGAAAAAAAAAAAGAGTTGGAGGAAGATAATTGCTAGTAGGTATGGTATTGTTTAGAGCAGTGAAAATGTTCTGAAGTAGGTAGTAGTGATGGCTGCACATCTAAAAAGCACTGAACTGTATACTTGAAGGATGAATTACATGATATGTGAATTAGTTTTCAATAAAGTTGGTCATAAAGAAGTGATCATAGAGCTGCGTTTGCTTCTGTTAGCATAAATTCTTTCTGGAACGATAGTGACTGCTTTGGAAAGGAGAGCTATATTCCTATGGGGTTATATCATGTAATTATATTACCTATTTCACAAATAAGTAAATAAAAGTTTAATAAGGTATTAATAGCTTCTTTCCTCTATTGATTCTACTATAAACAGGTCCTCCAAGGTTTAGATTATCTACACAGTAAGTGCAAGATCATTCACACTGACATAAAGCCGGAAAACATCCTGATGTGTGTGGATGATGCGTATGTGAGAAGAATGGCGGCTGAGGCCACGGAGTGGCAGAAAGCAGGTGCTCCTCCTCCTTCAGGGTCTGCAGGTGAGGAAGCTGGCTTATTTGCGTTTCTGTCTGCTTAAGGCTACTACTGTGACCTTCCAGAACTGAGTGTGGAAGGTAATTGAGTCAGGTGTGTACATATGTGTTAGGAACTCTTTATAACACCTTGGTTTCTAGAAAGAACAGGATCTTTTTCTTGAGAAGATATTCCAGTTATATATTTCAATATTTATTTTAATATTTGAATTGCTTACCTTTGCCCCCATTAAAATAAATACACGCCTACAATCTCAGCACTCTGGGATGATGAGGCAGAAGGATCACAAAATCAAGGCCAGCATGGGCAATGTGGAGAATTATTAGCTAGGCTCTGTCTTAAAAAACCAAAAGGTCTAGAGACGTAGTTCAGTTCAATCCCCAGTAACTCCTTCCTTCAAAAAAAAACACTATATAAATTCTTGACTACTGCTTCATCTATAAATGGACATTTCTTGTGTTGCCCACTTCACTTTGGAGAATGTAGAAACCAAGTTCTTATAACTGAGCTGTAGCCATCAGAATTATTATGGTTTTAGTCTTGTTAGAATGCTGTCTTCTCAGCCGGGCATGGTGGAATGTGCCTGCAGTCCTAGTACTTGGGAGGCTCAGGAAGGAGTATTGCTGTGAGTTCAAGGTCAGCCTTGAATTGCTTAGTGAGACCACTGCAAAAAGACAAAAAAAAGTTTTCTTAACTCTTCAGTTTTCACAGCTGTATCAGTGTTAGCTGAAACAGTGCACTTTGAACTAGTTAGGAAAGTCTGAAGAATGTGGGAAGAAGACCAAGTGCAATTTGAGTATTTGCATGTGGAGTTTTGTTTCTGAATGGTGCAGTAAGGCATCAGCTGTGCTTCTGTGCTCTTTTCCCATTGCCTGCACCCGCCCTGTGAGGTGTCGCGCAGGCTTACCAATGAAAGCACTGCGGCTCCACGGAGAGGTGCTTTCACCTTGTCTCCTCTACCGCAGCCTCTACTGTTCAGATCATGGAGTCAACCAGTCAAGCCTTTGATGGTGATAGGAGTCTTGTGTGATTCCAGGAGCCGTTGCTGCAACTTGCTGTACTATTTGATTTAGGTTAGCTGTATAAAGCTTGCCAAATAGATTTCAAACACAGATGTAATTCATCCAAGTTGCTCATTTTATTGTCTGTAAACAAATTTGGGTTGGTGACTGATTTGTGAACTGTTCATATTTTATTTTGTTCTGATTTTTGAGATAGGATCTTGCTGAATTCTAGGCTGGCCATCAAGATCACTGTGTAGTGCACGGTGGTCTTGAACTTGAGGCGAGCCTCTTTCCTCAGCCTCCTGCATGCTGGAATTATAGATGTATACCCGGCTGTTTTTAAAACTTGTCGTTCAAAGCTTTGAGACTGACTGGTTTTGAAATGGCTCAGTATAAACAGCTTCTACAGTATCCTTTAAGAGTCAGTCTTTTTCTTTTTTTGAGTTGGATAAAGTTACCCTAGAAAATCCCTACTGTAAAGTTGCTTTGGGATTGGTTAGTGTATGCATATATGCATGTATTTATGATCTTGGGTAGCCATTAAAAGGTAGTAACTGCTGCATGTGGTGACACATGCCTGTAATCCCAGTTACTTGGAAGGCTGAGGCAGGAGGCTCACAAGTTTAAGGCCAACTCTGGTGATTTAGCAGTGCTCTATTTGATTGATTGGTGGATGGATGGATGGATGGATGGATGGATGGATTAATACCAGGAATCGAACTCAGGCCTCATGCTTGCCAGGCAGGCACTGCTCCGCTGACCCACATTCCTGGCCCCAGGCCCTGTTTGAAAAAGTAAGAAGGGCTGAGGGTGTAGCTTAATGGTACAGTATCCCTGGGTTTGATTTTCAGCACGAGAGAGGGAAAAAAAGTAATTAATTATTTCATTATGCTATTTGAATCACCTAAGGATATGTATCTGTTTTCCTCTAAGCATCCATTTTGTTTTATTTTGTTTTAGTGAGTACGGCTCCACAGCAAAAACCTGTAAGTACTGCTACCTATACGTTTATTTAGCCTATCAAATGAACTACTTATTATTGAGCTTTTCAAATTACAACAATGTATATTAAATTAAAAGGTAGATATGTTTATAAAGACTCTGTGTCCTTAATTTAAATAGAAATGATCTCTACAGAATTAGAATAATCAAAACTATTACAAGATCAGTTTCACATGCTTTCTGGGGGTGAGGGTGGCCAAGGTTGGAGAACTGTGAGCTGAGGAGATGGGGTCTGAAGTGTGATTATTCCAGAGTCACTCTATTACTTCTGATTGACATCCAAGTCACCTGTGATCCTCAGTAGTAGTTGAAACAGAAGAGAATGTTGGCTTTTCTGTGGTTCTGTCCAAACACTGTTCAACAAACTCACCCTCAGTGTGTGATGGAAGCATCATCGATGTGAGGGGCTGAGGAGAGCCCAGTCTCCTGGCCTCCAATGCTCTGCATCTCTGCAGGGCCTTCCTGGGCCCAAGGCATGGGCTCCCCAGCCTGGGAAGACTGGGAGGCTCTCATCCCAGAACTGTGTGACTCAGGAAGATGGCTCTTAGTGGAGGCAGACAAGAACTGCAGTTTTTTTTTTTCTTTTTTACCCTTTTACTTAGTGTGCTCATTTCTTAAAGTTTGCATTGCCTGGCTGTTGCTAATAGCTCAGCACATGAGAGGCAAACTCCAGTGGTGCTGTTGACTCCTTATTTTGGCAAGGCTTCCCTTTTGGGGGCAGTTAGGAGGCTTGAAAATGCTGCTTTGTGTCTGAGAAACAACTCATAAAACTTATAAAATGATCTTCTTGGGGCTGGGGAGATAGCTCAGTAGAATAAGCGCTTGCCTAGCATGTGCAAGGTCCTGAGTTCAATCCCCGGTTCTGCAAAAAAAAAAAAAAAAAAAATCTTCTTGCTAAAAGCTGATTATTTTAGGATATTCATTTGTCCTGGAGTTTAAGTGGTGAAGCCTTACTGACCTTAGCTATGTCCCTCGAGTGACAGACCCAGTAACAGACCCAGCACCTGATACAAGCCAGCACTGGTTTCTATCTTACCAAAACCCTAACCACAGATATGGACCTTCTGTGTGGGTTTATGAATTTCATTGACTGTGATATGAAAAATTAGCATTTGTTGATATTTGCCATGCTCCCAGCACTTATACTGTGGAGATTTAGAAAGAGCAAACTGACCTGTGGTATTTTCTTAACATGTTATAGATAGGAAAAATATCTAAAAACAAGAAGAAAAAGCTGAAAAAGAAACAGAAGAGGCAGGCCGAGTTGTTGGAGAAACGCCTGCAGGAGATAGAAGAACTGGAGCGAGAAGCTGAAAGGAAAATAATAGAGGAGAACGTCAGCTCAGCTGCACCTTCCAATGGACAAGATGATGAGTTTCACCCGGAGGTGAAGCTAAAAGCGGCAGGACTGGAGGAGACAGCAGAGGAAGAGACCACGAAGGACAAGGGTCAGTGGGGTCCCAGGCGCTCAGAGCCGTGACCAGCCAGGGCTTGTGCTGCTGCTTGAGATAGGGCACATTCTCTGCATCTCCTTACTGAGGAATATGGGAAACAGCCTGTGCTTCACTTTAACATATGTGCCAGGCTCATCAGTGCTAGCATGTGCCTGGTGTGATACTGTAAGAGCAGTTCTCAGAAAGTACTACCTGAGAGGGCCAGGGAGATGGCTCAGTGGAATAAGCGCTTCCCTGGAAAGCGCAAGGGCCTGAGTTCAATCCCCAGTTCCGCCAAAAAAAAAAAAAAAAAAAAGAAAGTACTGCCTGAGAAATATCATGTGTCTCTATCATGCTAACCATGGCTCTTCCTTTTTGAGTAGTAAACCTTTTGCCTAACCGTAGTGTATCACAAAACTTTTTCTGAAGATTGTGAAGACAGACGTAGAAGTCCAAATTTATTTATAAAAATATCTTTTTATTAATTTTAATGAGAAATAGCAATGAGACAGTTTCAAACCAGGTTAGTTAGACAGTTACAATCATTAATGCATTGCTTATTGTCTTCGTAGTAGTTATTCACAGTACAAGATGCAGACATGATTTCTTGTCTAAACAATATTAGTACTAATCTTTCTTCTCATTGAACTAAGATATTTGAATTGGCATCAAGTATGAAGAGGTCCTTTAAAGACTTCTCCAAATACAGCTTCTCTAACAGCAGTGGAACAACCATCTCTGACAAAACAAAAAAGGGGGATATAAATGAAGGACTATTTTGTAGTGAAAAATTATATATATATATGTATATATATATATATATATATATATAAATAGGATAGATATGCAGCTATAAAAATATTTTCTTAAAAGTTTTTTTTCATTTCTTTTTTTAATTAGTACATACTTGTGATATATAATCATTATATGCATTTGGGAAGTTGGTCCAAAAGCTTATTTTATTTTATTAATTTATTAATTTTATTATTTTTTTATTAATTTTTTTTGAGGTACAATTTAGCTATTCAGTGCAGGTTGGCTTTGAACTAAGCTATGTAGCCTAGACTGGACTTGAATTTACATTGATCCTCCTGTCTCAGCCTTATGAATTCTGGGATTATAGGCACATACCACTAAACCTGGCCTTCCAAAAGCTTGTGCCAACAGTAGACCACTTGTAAGATTGAGAAAATGTGAAGGTTTCACTCTGAGAATGGGGAGGTATTGACCTGTGGTACAGGAACGAAGCGCAGTAGAAAGCGTGGCGTGTCGCAGGAGGTTGATACCCAGGGCCTCTTCTTGGAGACAGCAATAGGTCCTAACTGCTGCTTTGTTGGCTTTTTAAGGTGAAGCTGAAGACCAGGAAGAGAAAGAAGACACTGAAAAAGAAAATGTCGAAAAAGATGAAGACGATGTCGATCAGGACCTTGGCAGCATAGACCCTGCGTGGACTGAGTCCCCCAAAGCAAATGGCCACATTGGGAACGGCCCCTTCTCCCTGGAGCCGCAGCTGGACGAGGAGGAGGAGGACGACGATGACTGCCCGAACCCTGCTGAGTACAGCCTGGAGGAGCCCAACGCAGACAGCGATTACACCTACAGCAGCTCCTACGAACAGTTCAACGGTGAACTGCCAAACGGACAGCATAAGATGCCAGAGCCCCAGTTTCCAGAGTTTCCCACCTCCTTGTTTTCGGGGCCCTTGGAACCTGTGGCCTGCGGCTCTGTGCTTTCCGATGGGTCACCACTTACCGAGCAGGAGGAAAGCAGTCCCTCCCATGACAGAAGCAGGACGGTTTCAGCCTCCAGTACTGGGGATTTGCCAAAAAGTAAGTGTCCTTTGCCACCCTCATCTGCTTCCACTACCCCAGGGCTGTGGCCGTGACAGGAGCTGCGGAAGGAATTGGCTGGACCTGGAGAGGCATGTGCGCCGACCGTTTGTGCACTCTTGCTTTTGTTCTCAGGAGCAAATAATGTGCTTTCTGTGCCACTAGGCTTTTTCGTACTCTGTGTATATAAAACCCCATTTCTGAGCTTTTCTTATTCTTTAGTTAGTGATGTCAAACATTGGCAAAGCCCTTCAGCTCTAGTAACTATGTTGCTTTTACGTCTTGTACGTGATAGTGCTGCATTTAGTTTTCCTTTGTTTTCTATTCAAGAGATGTTTATTATCTTTTCAATAGAATATCTGCCCATTCTCTGGCTATACTGAGAAAGAAGTATTGTAATTTAGTTTGACAGTTGTCCCTGATTCTAGAACCCTGCTACTGATAACTCGTCTAGGATTGTAATTTTAAAAGTGGCATGAATTTAAACATGATGCTGCATTGCAGGTTGGGTCTTGTGTTCTTATCTACTTGAGGCCATCTTATTTCAAGCTCTTATTTGGGGAGTAAATGCCACATGAGAAAGTCCACGTGACTGGTTCCTGCAAATGCAAACTGGATGTTGCAGTTTCCAGTCTGGCCCCTAGTGAAAAAGCTCAGAAACCTCCTCTGCTCCCTCTGCTGACAACAGTGCCTCACACACAGAGGGAATGATGGGCAGTTCCGGCCAGGGCCGGGAGGTTCTGCGCCCTCCCTTGCAGCAGGCTGTGAGCTGTGCTGGAGGCAGGCAGCACCTGCAGTCCCTTGCCACCTTGGTGCACTTCCTCTCCTGAGTGGGCACTGTTAGTCCCCTGGACTGCATGTTCTCCACATGCGCTGCTATAGTGCCAGCTCACTGTTTATCTCATTTATAGAGGCATACAGAAAAAAATTTACAAGGTAGCTTTTTATTAATTATTTTGCAAGTGGCAGCTTGGGATAGTGGCTTTAAATATATGATATATGAAATTAAATCCCAGCTCAAAACTTACTAGCTGTGGGGCCGGGGAGATAGCTCAGTAGAATAAGCACTTGCCTGGTAAGCACAAGGCCCTGAGTTCAATCCCCAGTTCTGAAAAAAAAAAAAACAACTTATTGGCTGTGTGGCACTTTAGTTTTGTAATCTTTCTCAGCCTCAGTTTCTTCCTCTATCTAAGGGAAGACACGACTGCCTCTAGGTGAAGTCAAATGTTGTAGTTAAATATATAATTTAACAGTAGTAATATATGTGACATTTCTCAGTGAACGTTGTGGCAGTAGGAGCTGATAACGTACAATGGGATGTCCTGTGCTTGAGCAAGCGGCTCATCTCCCACTGCTGTGCCCTGTGGGCAGCGCTGGGGCCCAGGCACACTGGAAAGCTCAGTGATGCAACTTTTGGCATCCTCAACACAGGGTCCCAGGTCCTGGTCTAGCTTTGCTTACCACATTATTGTTCAAACTGGGAAGGCAGGGTGGGTATAAGTTTACACCTGGAAAGAAAAACTAATAAACAGAAAACAAAAAACAGAAGGAACTTTAAAATCGTGGCGGGTGGGCGAGCAAGGCGCAGTGGCATGTGAGAATGCGCTCAGCACTAAGGAGGCTGAGGCCGAGAGACTGCTGTAAGCAGGGCCAGCCTCGGCGGCCTAGGAGCTGTCAGCCAGCACCACGTACCCTGCCTCAAAAACAGCAAACCAAAGCAGAACAAAAAAGATGGGTGACCAGAGGAAGTGTTTTAATTTAGGCAAGGTGTAAACACTTTGTGAGATAGATGAACTCATCATGCTGTTTGTCTGGGGGACACCTGAGCACCCCTCGGAGCAGGCGCCATCTCAGATGGGCACAAGTCTGTGGCCCCATGGACCCCACCTTTGTCTTGCAGGCCTCACTTTGCCCCCCCATCCCCCCACGTTCCCAAGGGTTTCCCAGTTATCTCCAGGCACCTTTCCTGTCAGTGCCCCCATCTCTGGTCTTAACGGCCCCTCCCCCGCCTGTCTGCCTGCCTGCAACTCTGATGCCCATCCCTCCGCTTTACTCATGGGTGAGTGCAGAGGCCCAGCAGTGTGCTGCATTCTTAAGGGCTATGAAGTGCTCTTGGGGCTCAGGCCTTGGGTGCAGGCTCCCCACACTCCTGGAGAATGTCTTACACCCACTCTTGGCAGCTCTGCTGTGCAAGGGTCGCTTCCCCATCTCCAAGACACCCTGCATGCCCGCTCAGTGTGTTGCCATCCGGTCTCCTCCACACTCCTCTTTTCTTTGTACCTGGTGAATCCTCGCTTCCTGCCCGTGGGCCTGGACCTCGGGGTGCAGGCATACAGAGCTCCTTGTAGGGCTGTTGGCTCTGCTCTGCCAGCTGCCGGGCCCACCTGCCTCTCTGCTCTGCTCCCTCAGTCTTGAGCAGTCATCTCCGTCGTGGGAAGCGGCTCCATCTGTGGAAACACAGGAAGGAATGAGCAGCTTAGCTCTGTTGTTGACAGATTATTTTGAAAGAGTAGTACAGTAAATAACTCTGTTTTCCACAGATCACGTGTTAACATTTTGCCTCATCATCATCATCATCAAATTATTGGGATGAAGGCATCACTGGGGACTGAACTCAGCACCTGCACTACATCCCCAGCCCATTTCTTAGTTTTATGTTTTAAGATAGGGTCTCACTAAGACACTGAGCTGCCCCGGGTGAGCTTGAAATTGAGATCCTCCTGCCTCAGCCTCCCCGAGTGCTGGGGTTACAAACCTACAGCATGAAGTAAGCTTATTAAGTTTACTTTATACTGAAATTGCATGCTGTAAATATGAGGCTACTTCACTCCTACATACTGCAGCCTCCCCTGATGAAGATATTTCTCTATCATACCTATCACTACCATGTGTAAAAATATAAATTATTTTATAAGATTGCCTATTATTATTCATTGCATATTTGGATTTCACTAGTTCTAAAGTTTTCTTCTTAAATTGTCCCTGTTCCAGAATAAAATAAAATAGCACCCTATCCCCAAGGCTGACGTTTCCCTGCAGGCCTCAGCGTTTTTCCCTCCTTTCTCCTGGTTGTGCTTTTCTTCACGGCACGGTCATGGCTCGTGTCCATCATTTCCTCCTCACTAGGATGTTGGCTCTTTGAGGCTGCCATGTCTGCTCAGCCTTGTGTCTGCAGCATCTGGTGCTGAGATGAGTATTTGCTGATTAATGTGTTCACACTGGGACCACTGCTGGGTGCGTGTGACCTGAATGTGCTGTAGTCCCAGGACTTGAACCGCCAGGGCTCCGTGCATGATTGTTTGTTCGGCTGTAGAAAAGCCCTACAGTGGTTCCAGCGGCGGGCACATGTGCTCATGAACGAATGAGTACTACTTGGCTGTCTCATGTCCTCCTCCTCTTCTCTCCATCCTTTGCATGGGCACAGTCACAGTGTTGCTGTGCTGACCTGGACCTTGTCCCTTGTCCCTCTTGCCCAGAGCAAGGTCTCCTCATTCAGATATTTGGCTTCCCTGTCTCAGGTTCCAGCTTGGGATCTGTTAACCATGGGCAGTCCGGCCCTGGAGAAGGATGGCCTAGAGGCTAGGAGCTGGCTACCATGTCCTTCATGGACATGAGGTTAGAGAAGCAAACTTTCCTAAGCATTTGTGTGGGTCCTGGCCTGCAGAGCAAAGAGAATAGTAAAGAAAGGTGGGAGCCCGACTGAGACATGTGGAAGAACTTCCGTGAAGGATACAGACTTTCTCTAGAGTGACCTGACAGTGATTAAAGGCTCGGAACAACAGGCAAGGCTTGTCTTAGAGTACCAACGCTAGAGCTATAACACACATCTTGGCTCCTGGAGCCTGAAGGACAAAGACCCTGGAGCCGAGTGGTTTTGTTAATGTCACCTGCGAAGTTGGCATGGCGGCCTCCTCCTCGCCCTCAGTGTCACCCACAGCTATCAGTCCTGTCCAGCCTCTCGCCTATCTCATGGCAGCTCTGGCTCCTTAGGCTGTCTTCCATTTTGCTGTCTCTTTAAATCGTGTGCTCGCCATAGTTATGCATACCTGTCATCCCATCACTCCAGAGGCTGAGGCAGGAGAATCACTGAGTTTGAGGTCTGGCTGGGCTACATAGTGAGCTCAAGGCCAGCCTGAACTGGGTAGTGAGATACTGTCTCAAAAAAAAAAAAAAAAAAAAAGGCCCTCATCTTCTCCCTACCCCCAGATTATCTAGAACAGATCTCAGGGAGAATATGCCCCGAGGCATCCCTCGTGGCAGCCCCCGTGTGTTCCCTGGTCCAGCTCTGCTAGCACTGGTGTCACAGTGATGGCACCCTTCATTCACACTGGCTTCTTCCCGAAGCTGTTTCTAGCTCAGGGCCTTGACACTTCGGGTTTTCTACTGCCTCTTCTTCTCCCCCTCTGGAGCTCCCTCAATTTAGGCTTCTTCTTAAGTGTCCCATTCTCTGAAAAGACCTCTCCTGAACAACCTCATCATTATCTGTTTCTCTGCTTTTTCTTCACAGAACATGCAATTACCTGACTGAGTGTCTTAGGTTAAAGGAGGAAAAGATTATTCGGCTCCTAGTTGGTCGAGGTTCAGCTCACAGTCCGCTGGCTCCCAGGCAGGGCGGCAGGGCAGAGGAGCATAGCAGAGAACAGCAGCCACGTAGAGGCCTCAAGGGAAGAGCAACAAGTAGGAAGGGGTGACAACAGCTTCTTTCTGCCCTTTATATTCTGTCCAGCCTCCCTGCTGTTAGGGCAGGTAGTGTTTACACCAAGAACTATGCCAAATCAATCCATGGACTAATTTAGTAATCATACACCCTTATCCCCAGCCTACACATTCCAGATCCAGCCACCTCTGAACAAGCCCTGCCTGTGCCCACACAAAGCTTAGGGGCATAAACCTTAGACAGAACGTAACACATCTAGACAAAAACCCTACAGTCCGTAAAGTGTGCATTTACTTATTTTTGCCCGTTGTTCCTCCTAGTACACGAGATCCTACCTTGGCATATCTTCTCTGTGCCGGTTCCCACCTGGCCCCCGGGAGGCTCACATTCTGGCTTTGAGTCTCCAGTGTGTGCTTTTTCTGTGGGCTGGTGCTGACCTTTCTGCCATTAGAACATATTCAGGCCTCCTTGAAGGACCTGTGTGCCCACATTGGGTCTGTCACCTAGAGATGGCTTCATCAGAAATTGTCTTAAAGCTCAGACTTTCACTTTCCTAAAATCGTTCCACTTACTTTGTGGGAGCAGAGCACATTTGCAGGCTTTTCATTTTGGAAAGGAGACATTGCTGATGTGTCATTGGATTTGCATTCAGTAGGAAGGGGAACTGTGGTATGGTGGGAGGAAGCAATCTGATTCTTAGGACAGCCAGTGGGAATGATTCTGCAGTAAGCTTGAGTGTCCTGTGTTTCCATGGGCCTTGTGGACTATTGCGGGCAGTACCCAAGCAGAGAACTGATCACTCCGAGAAATCAGAAATAGAGTACAGTCCCTTTTTCTCGTTATATATATATTTTTTCTTTCTTTCTTTCTTTTTTTTTTTTTTAAATGTATTTGGTTGTTACAGGGTCTCACTAGGCAGCTTGGACTCATAGTGGTCCTCCTGTTTTCAGCTTCCCCCGTGCTGGGATTACAGGTGTGTGCCACAATGCCCAGACTCTGTGGCTGGCTCAGCCCACCTTGGGGGCAGGGCTGGCGTGGCATATGGTGCTGGCAATCGAACCACAGACCCTGTGCTTGCCAAAGCTTGCGTAAGCAGGCGCTTTAGTCCACTGAGCTATCTCACCGGCCCTCTTCTATTCTTATGCAATTAAATTATTGAGATAAATTACCTGGTATCATTTAGAACACATTGTAAGCAGAACTATTTACAAACCTGAACCAGGAGGATAATAACATGTCACCAAAGATATTTTGCTTACTGAACACAAATGAGAGGTATTAAATACAAAGAAACTATTTAAATGTGTGGTGATGGTGTCTCTGACAGTGTATTTCTTATAGCATAATTGAATTAGGCAGCTCCTGGGAGGTGTTCTTAAAATCAACAGCTAGGAGTGGGTGGCAGAATACAGATCGGCTCATTTCGCTTGAGTGCCCTCAGATGACAGCTCGCTTGCCACTCTTGGAGAAAAGAAAGCAGATCTTCCTGTAGTTCAGCGGGCCACAGAATGTCTAACATAGTTTTGCTCTCTTTTGAATTGTGTGGCCAAAAGATGTGTAGGTCACCTCAGTAATGCCTAGCTTTCAGTGAACACAGGGCCTCTCCAAAAGGGGTGTCTAGCAGTCTGCATTGAGCAGGCTCTTTTGCTTAGTCTGTAAGTTCCGTTTCACACTCATTTCTGTAATAAAAGCAGCAGTTACCTTTCAACCTCACTGGAGATCTGAGCCTGCATGGCAGTTCGCAGTTTGGTGGTGGAGATGCTGGCTTGGTCTCAGGGCTTCCCTCTTGTCCTCACCAACTTCTTCCTGTTGTCACTTCCCAGCTGCCCAGCTGTACTTGATAATCAAGGTGAAATTCATCAGGGTATGCTTGAAAACAAGACTTATCCGAGATGGACCTCAGCTTGGGACACATTGGGAGGCCTGGCCCTGGCCTGCTGTGGAGTTTCCTTTGGGTCGCTCTGAAATGGAGAGTGACTGGAGGATGTGACAAGTTCATTTTTTGTGTCTGTGAGCTGTGCTCTTGGCCGCATTCTGTGTACCTCCTTGTCCCTTGCAGCAGTGCCCATTAGGGAGCGGCCAATGGTATGGACAATGGACCAGTGGGGCTGACCTGAGGCATAGGAACAGAGGAGGTGAGCAGCACGGCAAGCAGTGTCTTCTGGGTGTGCAAGTCATGCTCCCATATGGAAATTTCCTGAGATGGAGACAAAAAACTGAACTTTGTCGAGTTCAGTGGGCAGGATTCTGGGTCTGTGTGATTCCAGGTCTTTTTTGCACTTCTACAAAAGGAGGTTTTGTTTATTATTTTATTTGGTACAGGGTCTTGCTACACAGCTCAGACTCATAATGATCCTCCTGTCTCAGTCTCTCCAGTGCTGGGATTATAGGGATGCTCTACCATGCCCAGTTTCAGTGGCCAGCTTGGTGTGTGGTACTGGGGATCGAACCTGGGTCCTTGCGCTTGCCAGACAGGGACTTAGACCGCCGAACTATCTCCTCGGCCCAAAAGGAGGTTCTGTACCTGGCAAACATTGTGTGCCCACAGGGACCACTCATCTCCGTCACTAACTATCCTGCTGTTTGCCCATCCAGCAAAAACCCGGGCGGCCGACTTGTTGGTGAACCCCCTGGATCCTCGGAATGCAGATAAAATTAGAGTAAAAATTGCTGACCTGGGAAATGCTTGCTGGGTGGTAAGTAAGTTTTCTTTCTAAAACATCTTGTTCATGACCTGGGCCTGGTGACAAGTGCCTGTAATCTCAGCACTAGGGAGGCTAAGGCAGAAGAATTCCCACAAATTTGAGGGCAGCCGGGCCCCATAGTGAGCTCAAGGCCAGCTTAAACTATATAGTGAGACTCTGTCTCAAAAAAGCCAACCGAGAACCCCCAAAACATGTTGGTTGTGATTCTGAGGGACAAGATGCCGTTTTCCTTTCCGCATGTCTGTGTTTCACCTTGGTAACGCACGTGTTCCTTTCCAGCATAAACACTTCACCGAGGACATCCAAACGCGTCAGTACAGATCCATCGAGGTGCTGATAGGAGCAGGCTACAGCACGCCTGCAGACATCTGGAGCACAGCATGCATGGTAAGGGCAGCTGTGTGGTCCTCTCTGTGTCGCTAGGCCCTCCCCTTCCTGTATTCCCGGTGGAGTAGAGGTGTGTGGGCCCACCTTTCTAAATGGGAAGCTGAGCTACCAGGAGCTGGGCCTGCAGGGCAGTGCTGATCTTCTTAGGATGAGAAAGCACAGCTCCTGCCAGCTGCATCCTGAGCTGTGTCAGACTCCTCAGGGCGCCTTCGTCCTGTGCTGCCCGTCTGTGAGCTGGTGAGCACGCATGTGCCTTCATCTCGCCCCTGTCCCCGGCTCATCAGGTGCCTTTCCCTCCGTGGGCTTTCCCTCCCGTGCTAGAACAGGTGGCGTGTGTGTCTGCGGCATGGTGCAGAGCATCATGCTTGTGCTGTTTCCTGTCTCCTGGCGCCTGAACAAAAGGGCTCCCATGTGGGGCTTTTGGAGTCTTCTGTCTAGCAGAAGCCACGCGGAATGATGTGAATGTTCTGGTGTTGGGGGCTTGCTAGTTCTTTTGAGCACGCTGTATTTTATCCTCTGTTGTGAAGTAAGAGCATTGTTTTAAGCAGATAGTATCAGACAATATGAAAAAAAAGTAGGTGTTTTGTGCCTTCAAGGTAGCATGACCTGAGGCAGTAGGTAGGGCCAGGTAGGTCTAAAATAATTTCTAGTCTCTTATGACTGAGGGATAATGCCGATAATAATTTTAAAATTATTTTAAAGTGTTAGCTTTTCAGTGAGTTTCACCAGCCAGATTCCTGCCCTTGTGTGGCTTGGGGAGGCCTACTTGAAAGAAGCAGTGGGTGCTTTGAGTGTGGAGACCTGTGTGGAGGCCCAGACCAGGCCAGCAGGAAGGGAGCCGCTGGAAGAGCCAGGCTGCGGGGAGGGAGGGGGTGTTTAGGAGGTGGTGAAGCAGAGTGACGCTGTCCTCAGCAGCACAGAAGCCACACACCAGGGCTGCCCTGAATTACGCTTACCAAACTCTTTGAACTCAAAAGTCTTACACTTCTAATTTTGGATGTTAAGTGTGATGATATAACCAGAAAACTAGGGCAGCATCGAAGACGTAGGGATGGTGGTGGAAGTCAGTGCGTTCTGCGGCTGGCTGGCCGGCTGCCTCCTGTGCTCCAGCCCCTCACCTACTGTGCTTGTGTGGACACGAGAAGCAGGTGCTCCCTCTCCCCTGGGCCCGCTAGCCCACCAGGAACACCAGCAGGGCCTAGCAGCACGGGAGGCGACAGCACAGCTGCCCCTACCTGAGGGCTACAGGAGCAGCATATGGCTTTCTCTCTGCCCAGGTGGTTTTAAGAAGGAGCAAACCCTCATTCCTTGCCCCTGAAGGCCACAGCTGGAAGGTCTCTTCTTTATTTTTTCTAGGCAGAGAAGAGGCTTAAAAGTATTGCATTAGGCCAGGTATGGTGGCACATGCCTATATTCCCAGCACTCGGAGGCTGGGGCAGGAGGATCTTTATGAGTTTGAGACCAGCCTGGGCCACATAGTGAGCTCAAGGCCAGCGTGAACTGCATAACAAGACCCTGTCTCAGAAAGATATAAAAAAAAAAACAAAAAGTATTGCATCATATGAAATTGGACCTTTTACTGCCACGCCTGAGATTATTCTTGGGGGCAAAGCCTACAACCCTCCCAGTGTCATGAGTAGCACAGGTCAGAGAGGTTTACTGCAAGCAGGTGCAACAGCCAGGGGTTCGATCCCCAGGCCCTCTGTGCCAGCCCCGCCCCCAGGACGCACGGAGACAACAGTCAAAACTGGGAGAGGGGTGCTGTTCGCCTGTAATCCCAGCTCTTGGGAGGCTGTAAACAGGCGGATCACTTTGAGTCCAATCTAGTAGTGAGACCCTGAACAACCTCTACACCCTTCCCTAAGATACCAAAAAAAAAAAAAAAAAAAAGGTTTCACTGCATACAGGGACGAGGTTGGGATGCCCCTGCTGTTGTTGAGGGCAATAGAATGAGATGGTTGTTAGTCCTGCTCTCTTCTGGGCTCTGGACCCTTCCACACATAGCTCAGTAGTGTGGGCCCTGGAATTGTATAGCTGAGATGCTCCTCTGCATCCACAGAGGAGCAGGCAGCATCACGTGAAGTCCTTGGCGGGTCCTGGCCAGTGCTGTAGCCTCCAGAAAGACCAGCTTTACAAAACCTCTTCACCCCCAGAAACATTATTTATTCAAAACTGGGTGCTTTGACACAGAAGGCATTTCAGGAAATGGACTTCTGATCTTCAAGAACTTGAGAAGAATCTGTGTCAGGGGAAAGCTCCCAGCAGGGACCAGCTTGGCACATAGGGGAGAATCTCAAGTGTTTAAATAATGATGGCAGCAGTAACAGTGCTAATAATGACTGTATTGGACATGACTGGCTGAAGACAGTGATCCTTCATATTTTCATAGCTGCCGGCCTGAAAGCACTTTGTGAAGTATGAAGGCCCAAGGTATTCATTGTTCATGTGCTGACCCTTTTTTTTTTGGGGGGGTGCCTATGTGACAATAAAAAAAAAAAAACCTAGTTGTGTTCTGAAGATGGATTAGCCAGTTTCCATCTTCCTTTAAAAAAAAAAAAAAATCATTGTGTTGATAGGCTTAAGTATCTTGTTGGAAATATATGGGGTTTGGCTTTTTTTTATTTTAAAAAACATAGGATTTGAAGCTGGACATAGTGTCACACACCTATAGTCCCACATCACGGGAAGTCAAGGAGGAGGACTACAAGCTTGGACCCAAGTACAAGCTTGGACTACAGCTGGGGCAATTTAGTGACCTAGGAAGATCCTGTCTCAAAATTTAGGAGAGGAATAAAGATGGTTAGGAATATAGCTCAGTGTTAAGGTCCTGGGTTCAATCCCCAGTACTGCAAACAAAACCAAACCAAACATCCACAGTATTTAGTGAGCAGAACAGCAGCAGCAGACACCAGATTAAACTCCCCGCCCCGAGAGCCAGCCAGCTGAGGGCTTGCAGGTGTACCTGGGGAGCAGCTCTGTGTCCTCAGGAGCACCTGTGAGGTGCTACACTCTATCATGCCTGGGGACAGTGGAAGGGGGTCTTTTGGGTTCTAGATTCTCTTCTGCTTGAGTCAGAAATGAATGAAATGAGGAAACTGAAAGTACCCTTCTTGCCTACACACAAGCACTGTTGCCCAGAGAAAGCCACAGCATCCCTGTGTAGGGCCTGCTGATTGGTGTGGTGGAGCGGGCAGGCCCTGGGTGCAGAGGCCCGATGGGCTCCAGGACTGACCTCGCGTGGCCGCCAGCCTGCACTTACGGCTGGGGCTCTGCTTCCTGCAGCATAAAGAGAACATGCTGCTTTGTCTTCCAAGAGAGATGTAAAAATATCTGGGAACTTCTTTGAACTCTTTGGGAGAAAGAATAGAGAGACTAAGCTGTTTTAGGAGTGCTTTGGTTTGCCTGAGAACCGCAGAATGTCCCCAGGGGAGAAGAGGAGCTGGGCAGTGTGCAGAGCTTAGTGTGTCACCTTTGTGTCCTAGGCATTTGAGCTGGCCACTGGAGACTATTTGTTTGAACCACATTCCGGAGAAGACTATTCCAGGGATGAAGGTAAGCGCTGCTGCCTGTGGAGTCCTGCGGTTGGGACTGTTCCTCGCCCCGAGCCTCCAGAGTGTGATGTTGCTGTCTGAACCAGAGCCATATTTTGGTTTTCAATTTCCAAATTCACACACTTTCCCCTTGAGTTTGAAGCCCCTCAGGGTCAGCAAATGGGCAGTGCCCACTTGGCACCTGCAGCTCAGGGGAAGCCTTGGCCCTCTCCTGGCCTTGCTCAGTGCGGAGCTGCACTGGGGAGCCTCTCCATGGGAGGGAGCCTCCATCCACTGAGTACCTGCCCACTTTGCCATTCTCTCTGGGAGCTGAGTTGAAAACCAGGGAATTCGAGCTTGAATTCCTTTTGCAGACCTGACCATCTCCATGCTTACTTGCTGCAATGCTGGGGCGACTGGGGGAGCTGGCATCAGTCTCTGCTGATGCTCCAAGTGGTGCCTGATGCCTGGCAGCCCCCGAGCCTCTGCATGGATTGCTGCAGACATTGTTGATTTGAATCAGTATCTGATTTTTTACTAATTTTACTTTTTTCCCTCCTCTTTTATCCCATCCTTCCCTTTGCCCCTCCCATTCCCATATCCTTTTTTTCTCTTCTCCATAGACCACATAGCCCACATCATAGAGCTGCTAGGCAGTATCCCAAGGCACTTTGCTCTATCTGGAAAATATTCTCGGGAATTCTTCAATCGCAGAGGTAGTACCTCTTCTTTTTGAAAAGCGCCACGATGCAGACAGAAACAGAATAGTAGCTGCTGGTAGCCGCATTAATGATTTTAGAGGTATTTCTTCTAAATTCCAAAAGCAACACAGCAGAATTCCTATGCTGATTTCAGAGCTGACAAGAAGGCCCGATTGTGGCCTGTACTGAAGTGGCCCTGTGCACTGACCCCCATTTGGTGCCCAGGGCAGTCCTGAGTCCACCCTTGTGGGACAAGTGTGTGCTTGTGCCCTTGACCGATCCAGTCGTGCTGTTTCTGTCTGCGCGGGCAGTGGTAGTGTCTGCATGCAGTGTACTGATTAAACTGTCGTGTGTTTCTGTTTTGCTGGCAATGTTTCCCAATGCAGATCACATAGCATTGATCATTGAACTGCTGGGGAAAGTCCCTCGAAAATACGCTATGTTGGGGAAATACTCCAAGGAGTTTTTCACCAGAAAAGGTAACGGTATTTATGCAACACTAATTTTCCACATAGTCCTCTCCCAAAGGGAGAAATTGTGCATTCCTGTCTGAGCAAGGAAGAACGATCTGGAGTGTACAGCTGGGGAAGTCTGAAGAAGGTTCTCAAGAAGCAAGCTGAGTCATCTGGTGTCTGTGGGAATGAGAGTTTGTAAGAGAACAGCCTTCCGACGGTCATTCCTCTCTTCTACATCTTACCTCTCCTGCTCTAAGCACCAATCGTATATTCAGATACTTGTAAAAAGGATTTTCTGAAAATAGCAGAAAATAGACACACTTTGTGTGTCATAGAGCCAATAGTGGGAGCGCGGCAGCCTTGAGGCTGAGCCTCCTGCACACAGCCCTCTGTGCGACCTCCGGCCCGTTTATGGAGCTGGGGCCTCCGCCCGGGAGCGCCTTTGTGCAGCACAGTCTCACGGTTGCCCTGTGCGTCCTGTCGCACTGTCATACAGCCTCATGTTGTGGCGCTCCCTGGCCTTCCTCTACAGGACCCTGAGCAGCTGTTTCTTTGCCGTGTGCAGTCTCAGTTAATGATCAGGTTTCAAAATACCTCCAAGCCCCTTGTAGATCATTTTTTCCTTTAATTTTTTTTTTTTTGAGAGCCCCTTTCACATGTTTTCTTTTGTGATTTGTTTTTGTTTGCATAATCCTTTAATAAAGAACTTTTAAAGTCAGTTTGAGTAGAACATGAAAGTTCTAGAAATTTGTCACCCAGATACCCTTTTTTTTTTTTAAGACAGGGTCTCACTATGTAGATCAAGTTGGCCTTGAACTCACTTTATAGCCCAGGCAGGCCTTGAACTCATGGCAGTCCCCTTGCCTCAGCCTTCTAAGTACTAGAATTACAGGCCTCCATCACCATGCCAGCATTTCCTGGTCCTCTCAGGCTCTACCAATTTGTAGAAGCATTTTTTTTTTTGAGATGGAGTCTTGCTAATGACAGTTACCCAGGATGTGCTTTAATTTGAGATCTTCCTGCTTCAGCCTCTTGGAGTGGTAGGACTATAGTTGTATACCACCAGATCTGACCAACTTTAATTTTCCTATGAGATAAGGAATTCTTATTGAGTAGCATTCACCTCTGCACACATGGCTGCTCCTGCACAGGCCAAAGCAGCGTTTGGCACTGTGGGTGGCTTTGCTATTACTCCAGGTTCCATGTAGAGCTGCAAGGTGGCGTGTGTCTTGGGATCTCTGCATTTGTTCCCTTACCTGTTGAGGGGGATTATTTCAGGCTGTGGAGGCATAAGAAAGTATACAGTGATACTGCGTGGCATGTGCTACGGTGGCAGCTGCTGATTGCTAACACGAAGTTATAAACAGAAAAGCAGTGCAAGGCTTGGGCACATGGACGGGGTTAAGCCGTGCTGACGAGGGTGAGGTCTCGGGTTCAGTTCCCAGCAGGGCAGATAGACTTTCCCTAGGTGTCTTCCAGAAGCTGATATTTCAGAGGAGTCAACCAAGGGGAAGCTCTGTACTAGCAAGGCCGGGGGCTCAGCTTGCCCCTGGGATCATGGGCCCATCCTCGTTCCTATCTGCTTCTGGGCAGGGCTGTGGAGGTGGTGTCTCTTGTGGAGCCTGACACTCTGTGGAAGGGCATGAGGGGCGCAGAGAGCCCTGTTTTCTCAGCAGGCAGGTGGGCAGGCTTGACACTTGCGGCTTCTCCCTATGCAGTAAAGAGTCCCAAACCCAGGGCCTGCTTCATGCTGGGCAGGCATTCTGCCACTGAGCTACATCCCAATCCTTTTTCAGTTTTATTTTTATTTTCAGCTAGGTGTAGTGGTACGTGCCTGTAATCCCACTGCGCCCCTGTCTCGCTAAATTGCCCAGGCTCACCCTGAACTTGGACCCTCCTCACACTGTGCAGTAGCTGGGATTGCAGAAGTACATCACTGCACCAGCTGCACCCGAGCTGCTTGAAAGCGCTGGAGCAGCGTGTTTGGAGGGCGCTGTGGAGGTAATAAAGCATCCTTGGTGACCTACCGAGGACATTCTGGCATGGTGTTACTGTGGTAACCGGACTGGCACACCCCACCCCCGCTGTAAGGGAGAATTTATGATGAGGCCAGAAATCCCCTAAAATGCCTGGGGGTTCAACTTAAATTCTTTCCTGATAATTGTTTACTTATCATGGCTGTGGTGATCAGAAGAAATTTGGGGTCTTGACAGAAATGACAGCAATATTATGAGGAACAAGAACTTGCCATGAGGGGCCAGGGAGATGGCTCAGTAGAATAAGCACTCGCCTGGCGAGCACAGTGGCCTGAGTTCAATACCTGGTTCCACCAAAAAAAAAAAAAAAAAAAAAAAAAAAAACTTGCCATGAAAATAGTTTTCCCCCTGTCCCCAAGGATGAGGGAAGTGGCTTGCTGAAAGCTATGTTCTGGTGTATCCCTCAAGTTCTGTTTAGAATACACTTTTTTTTTTTTTTTTTTTTTTTTTTTTTTGGCAGAACCAGGGATTGAACTCAGGCCCTTGTGCTTGCCTGGCAAGTGCTTAAGAGCCATCTCCCAGGCCCCAAGGATACACATTTTGATGATAGTGGGAGATCAGTGCAGGCAAGAGCAGCCTCTTGGGCCTGATTGTTTGATCGCATCAATAGCTATTATCTTAGTAAAAAATACTTGGTTGAGGATTGGAGTATTGAAGGATATGGTGTACTTTTTAAAAATATCAGATGTGCTGGGATGTATTGTGGGGTTGGGCACATAGATATGCAGATGTGAGCATCAGACTAAAGGGCTTCTGAGATGAATTGCAAACTTGCAAGTATCAGAATAAGAAGGAGAAGTGCCCGAGCAGTGTAAGGTCTGTGTTTCCAGAGCAGGGAGCTGGTGTCCACAGTGCTCTGCAGTAGAGAAGGAAGGTGGTCCTCAGAGCTGGGAGGGAAGACTTAGGAAGTTTAACAAAGAGACACTTTAATTATCTGTAGTATTTGAGCTTCATGTGTTAAATTGTAAATTTATCTCCAAGTTATGTAAAAGCAGCAGATGCTTTGAGAGCTATAGGAGCGGACCTCTTTTGTGGGTATGTGACCCATACAGGCTGAACATTGTCTCCACTCCATCTTGATTTTTCTTGGCTTTAAGTTTTAAAAGATTCTCAAAATACTTCCCAGCTGCATACATGCCAGGCATTGGTATTAGAACATTCTGTGAGCCATAGGATGTCCTTGAGGACCCCGTTGCCTTTGGAAACCCTGGGAAGGAAAGGTTGCCTAGGGCTCTGCCAAAATAAAAGTAGCTAAAGAAAGCTCCCTCATGCTGATTAGTAAATAAGCCTTAAGGGTTACAGTGCAGAGGTAAACTACTATCACCATAATTTCATCTTGACAAACTTCAAAGAGCCTTGTTCCTCAGCATGCCAAGGTCTGGATTCAGTTTCAGGGTGAGTGGCTGGGGATGGATGGACAGACGGACAGATGAATGGACAGTATTCTTTCTTCTCTGACTAGACCTTCCATAGAGGACAAGCTGAGCACAGGCCTAGTGTACTGCGGGATATGCAATGCCGAGCACATTCGTGCCTGGTAGAGCTCAGGTTCAGGGATTGACGCTCAATAAGCTCAAGCATGTGAACCTGTATCTGCCTTTGGTTTGGGGAGGGAACGTGGTGAGCTGGCTGGGGCTGGCCCCGTGTTCCAGGGTGTAGCCTGCTGTCCAGCTGCACTGCTTGCTGTGACCTCCACCTCACTCTCAGCTGGCCCAGCATGGAGAGGGCCTGGTGGAGGACCCTGTGGCTGGAGTGGTATTGACAGACGGGGTACCACTGAGAGGTGCTGTGCCCTGGAGTGACCCAAGTCACAGTGAAGACATTCTTTGAAATAGCCGCAGGCTGAGGAATGGAACTGCTTTTCGTGTTTGAATCATTTCAGCATTAGTACATAGAATGCAGAAAGTGGAACTCATTGCTGAAACACATTTCAGACAATTCCTGTTATACAAGTTGGCTGTCCCTTATCTACAGTGCTGAGACCAAGAGGGCTTCAAGTCTCACATTTCAGAATATTAGCATCTCCATAGAACGTGAGGTTTTGGATACTGGACCCAGCGCTAACCATGGAATTCATTTGTTTCATACAGACCTTGTATGCATAGGCTACTGTTGTTGGTTTTGTTTCCAGTGCTGGGGATCAAAGCCAGGGCCTCACACGGGATAGGCGAGTGCTCTGCTGCTGAGTAACGGCCTAGCCCCTTTGAAGGTCATTTTAGACAGTCGCCTCAACATGCCTGCCTTTGGACTGCCACTCCTCACATGCGGTCAGGTGTGGCGCTGTCCACTTGTGTCCTCTTAGAGCATTACAGATTTTGGATGACGGGTGCTCAGCCGGTACTTCCCTGGTTGCTCCCATCATTTGCTTTGACTTCCTGATGATGTAATACTTATTTTTAAGGCAGGCATTGACACAACCCTGGAATTCTTTTAAATTTATTATTTTGTTGTCTGTGTTGTACCCCTTTGTTATGTGTGCACATTTTATTTTTATTTATTTTTTAAATTTTATTTGTGTGTGTGTGTGTGTGTGTGTGTGGCCAGCTCAGCCCACCAGGGGGCGGGGCTGGCTGGCATGTGGTGCTGGGGGATCGAACCACGGTCCCTGTGCTTTGCTAAGCTTGTTCTAAGTAGGTGCTTTAGACCACTGAGCCATCTCACCAGTCCATGTGTGCACATTTTAAAAGAATAACTTTATTGAGATATAATTTTAGACCATACAGCTGAGTTAACCCTTTAAAAGATGTGTGCAGTGCAGTAGTTTCTAATATATTGACAGAGATGGATAACTGCTACTGTTACTTAATTTCATGACATTTTCATCATCACAAAGAAACCTCATACCCATTCATGGTCACTCTCGATTCTCTCGACTCTTAACTCAGAGCAGTGCTACTTCTGTGTTTTGGAGTTGGTAGCCTGAAGCCATGCTCTGCTGCTCCTCGGAAGACAGAGGCCTGTGGTTGCACCGTGCATCGGTGGTGCACGCTTGCCTGCTGCTGCATTTTGGCTGCGGCATGTGCTGCTGATGTGCTGGTCCTGTGCAGGGTTCTCCCGTCTCTTGAATGTGTGTGGTGACAGTTGAAGTGTAGTTCTTACCTTATATATTCTTCCTGTTCTTACTTGTACTTACTTTCCTCTTGTTTTCACTTCCCTCATAGTTCAGTCGTATATGCCATTTGGAAGTAATTTTTGTATGAGATGTGAAGTAGGATGTATACACGTTTTGAGTCCCAATATTTACCTCCCTGTATTTTATCTACCTGCATAGGAATTCATCCATATTTCTTTTTTTTTTTAATTTTATTTTTTTTCATCCATATTTCTTAAATTTTCTCTTAGGCTCTTTACCAGTATTTATAGTAGGGTTCCTTTGTCTGTGTACAGTACTGAAATTTGCCAGTAGTCACTGCAGTTCTATCCCAGTATTTGCCTTTATAGTCTTTCCATGTGAATATGAGACCTCATGTGATTCTATATGTAATTCTGGACTATAACTTCCTGGGCAAAATAACATTTTTTTTCTTTCTCAAATCAGTTAACATTGAGAAAGTGTAATGGAAAGCACTTTATCGTCCGGGCTGGCAGGTCACAGCCTCTGCCCTCCTGCTGGCCTGCTTTCTGTCAGGTCCTGCCTCTGTCCAGATGTTTCCAGCAAGTTTAGAGGCCAACGGTCCTGGGGAGCAGCTCCCAGCAGAGTTGTTGGCCTTGCTGCCTAAGCTTTTGGGTGCAGATCTGTGAGAGGGAGGCGCTGAGGTTTGCGCCCTTTTTTTTTTTTTTTTTAATGTGTTTAGTACAGGGTCTCACTACACAGATCAGACTCATAGTGATCTTCCTGTTTTCAGCCTCCCAAGTGCTGGGATTACAAGCGTGTGCCACCATACCCAGCTCAATCACCCTCTGAGGGGGCCCTGGGGATGGGGCCGGGGATTGAACCCCAGTCTGCTGAGCTGTCTGGTCCACCTTTTTTTGGTGGTGGGGGAGCAGTACCAGGGACTGAACTCAGGACGTTGTGCTTGCCAAGCAGGCACTTATCCCACTGAGCTATCTCCCCGGCCTGGGGTATGCACCTTGTAGGCCCAGGAGTCCAGTTCCGCTCTGTGTTCCCAAGGAGGCAGTGGCACCGTCCTCACGCCATCGCAGAAACAGCCAGAACCCAACTTTGTTTTTCTTTTCTTTTAAGTAAACACAATCACAAGTGTTTGATTGTCTCCAAATGTGTTTAAGTGAAACGTAATCTTTGTATACTTCCCAAAGAAAAAAATTATCAGGGTAAAAATTCTTTAGCTGGGTATGGAGTTAATTTTATACTAGGTGCAAGTAGGAGACATGCACAGGAGGATGTGAGGACGCGTACGTGTCCATGGGGTCTAGATTTGCTGTCAGAGCTGCCCACATCCCCATGTAGCCCATAGGTGTCCTGTGACACCATGCAGTGACCTTCATGTCACAGAGCTCTGTGTGTCCGGTGCTTGGGTAGATGCTAGAGTTATTTTGCATGTTGTATGTTTTGCTATTTTAGGCTACATCTTTGTGAAAATATTGTTTATATGTGGTTAGTTATATAAGAGTTCTTCATAGCCTGTTAATTTTACCCCTTGGTTGTGCAGCCATTAAGATATCTGCCAGGTTGCAGTCACTCCTTAGTATCTGTGGCTTCCGCCTCCACAGGGTGAATCAACCGCAGATCTGAAATGCGGGTTTTACATACACTAAAGTTGCTTCAGTGCTCAACATGTATACGCCTTGTTTCTTGTCATTCTCCCCAAGCAACACAATGTGACAGCTATTCACATAGCATTTACATTGCATTAAGGATTGTATTAATGTAGGGCCAGGGAACGGCTCAGTAGAATAAATGCTTGCCTGGCAAGCGCAAGGGCCTGAGTTCAATCCTGGTTCTGCCAAAAAAAAGAAAAAAAGAAAAAGGATTGTATGTAATGTAGAGGTGATTTACTAGAGAGAGAGGGCAGTGTGTACACGCGCCTGTTTTATTTGAGGGGCTTGGAGCGCCCTTGGACTTGCGCTGGGAGCGAGGGGCATGTTCTTGGAGCCAAGCTCTATGGAAATGGGATGACTGACTGTACTTAGGTTTATTTTGGGCGATTTTGGGATTGGTTTAGTTTGGCTTGTTTGTTTAATTTTCTCTCGAAAGCTTGAATTTTAGGCAACAAATACTGCTCCATTGATTTGATGGGCTCATTTTGTTCAGTGTGCTGAGGGTTTTTCTGGAGTTGGGAATTGAACCTAAGGCCTTTGGTATGCTAGGCAAGCATTGTGTCGCTAAGCCATGGCCCCTGCCTGACTATACTTAGTCGGATCCCTTTTAAAGGAACTTAGTTTAAAATTGCCATCATTAAACATAGGTTCTTTTGCAACTCTAAGTAGCCTGTGCTTCCCAGTGTCTGTACTCATTTGTTCCAGGACAGAATAACTGGAGGATCATTGAGTTGTGTTGAGCTTCTTGCAGCTTGGCACGTGTAAGTGCCACTAGCGTGAGCCGTTGCTGTGGCAAGATGAGCACGTCACCCCAAGTCTGCAGTAGTTACGTTACCGGAAGTGTGAGAATTTAGGGAAAAACTTTAGCACTGTTGGTGTCTGGCTGCATCTCATTTCAGTCTTTGTGGTTATTTTAAAATGAATCTTGTGATGATCTGCAGAACAGAGTTTTGAGGCTGTTTTATACTGCTTGACAGTTTACCCTGATCACTCCCATGCTGTTTAGTCGTAACTACCGCTCATCAAGTGGATGTACCATATTTTGGTTTTTTCACCATCATGCTCCTATTTTTGCACCTTTACAATTTTGTAAATCTGTGCAGTGGTGTATTGAGCATATGCTGGTGATAAGGACAGAAGCTCCAGGGATAGCTGAGACTCCTTTCTCCTACAGGCTGCCTTCCCTTCTTCCATAGAGGCAGACCAGACCTCCACTCTGGGAGCCAGCTTTGCTCCACACACTGTTCAGAGGCTTCCTGGATACCCATCTAAATACAATGTCTCTAAAAGTGTCCTTCCAGAGGAATCCTGTGCCCCATTACAGCTCTCCAAGCGCAGCCTCACCCTCGCCCTGACGGAGTGAGGGTGGCCAGCAGCTGCCACTGTGGGCAGGGCGCTGGGGCTCTGCTTTTGTTTTTGTGATTTTTGTGCCATATTCTTGTGTTGTTATTACGGTTGAAAGGGGGAGGTAGTGTGTTTCCAAATGGACTTGAATGATGAATGAACCAGTGCACATCTCCCAAGGAGGCCTTCATGAGTGCAGCACTGATTCTCTAGAGCTGGGACAAGCAGGGCCAGGGGCAGGGTGACCAGAACTACCCTGGCCTGCAGATTTCAAGGCTTATGATGTAATGGCCTTGGAATCTTAGATGGTGTAACAGATGTGTAGACACCAACAGTGTCTGGTTTGATTATCTGGCGTGGTAGCCAGCAGCTACTTGTGGCTATTTGACTTCAAACAAACTAAAGTGTTACTTCAGTTGCATGAGCTGCATTTCCTGTGTGCAGCAGATGCATGTGTGCGGCAGCCAGTGGCTGCTGCCTGGACAGCACAGACAACAGGTGTGTCTGTACCATTCCAGAAGTTCTTTCAGTGCCATTCAGAGAAAGAGACCCCCTCCCTTTCTTCGCATAAAATGTTACATCTCAGGGCTTTCTCTAAACAAGTTTGCAGTGTGCCTAAGAGCCGAAGTTAGAGTGCTAGTGGCTTTTTTGGGAAACGAGGACATTGTGGAGCTGAGCATGGTGGGACATACCAGTAGTCTCAGCACTCTGGGGGACTGAGGCAGAAGTTCAAGCCCAGCTTGGGCAATTTATTAATTTACTGAGATCCTGTCTCAAAATGAAAAGGACTAGGAAGTTAGCTCCATGTAAAGGTTCTGAATTCAATCCCCAGTCCTGCAAAAAGAAAATTTGCTGGGCATTCGTGCACACTCTGCTTAAAGAAACCAGCAGTGATATGAATGAATTATAGTTGGCCCTTGAGCTTTGACGTGGTCACAGATACTTCTGTGTTTATTGTGAAAGAGGAAAGCTGCTCTTCTTCCTGGGTGCCAGATGGTGTTGACTGGGCAGGTAGGTATCGCGGCGGGGCCAACCATGGGAAGTGCAAGCTTGGAGCTCTCCTGATACTGGTGTTTTTCCCCCTGTAGGAGAACTGCGACACATCACCAAGCTGAAGCCCTGGAGCCTCTTCGATGTACTTGTGGAAAAGTATGGCTGGCCGCAGGAAGACGCTGCGCAGTTCACGGATTTCCTCATCCCCATGTTAGAAATGGTTCCAGAGAAACGGGCCTCTGCTGGTGAATGCCTTCGGCATCCTTGGTTGAATTCTTAGCAAATCTACAGATACACCATTCAGAGCTAGCAAGTGTTTTCCAGTACACTGGACCTAAACGGTGACTCTCATTCTTTAACAGGATTACAAGTGAGCTGGCTTCCTCTTCAGACCTTTATTTTGCGCTGAGGTACTGTTGTTTGATATTCTGCTCTGTGTGCACTGTGATCCTGGGAAGGGTAGTCTTCTGTCTTCAGCTAAGTAGTTGACCATTTTCTTCTGGAAACAATAACATGTCTCTAAGCATTGTTTCTTGTGTTGTGTGGCATTCAAATGTCATTTTTATTTTGAATGAAAAACTCTTTCCCCTTTGTGTTTTGGCAGGATTTGTAACTATTTATGAAGAAATATTTTAGCTGAGTACTATATAATTTACAATCTTAAGAAATTATCAAGGTGGAACCAAGAAATAGCAAGGAAATGTACAATGTTATCCTCTGGCAAAGGGACATCATTCCTGTATTATAGTGTATGTAAATGCACCTTGTAAATGTTGCTTTCCACTAAATATGGGGTGGGGACTCGAGTTTCAGAAAAGCTGCCCGGCGCCAAATGTCCTGTAGCGGAGCTGCACAAGGCGGCCCGCTGCTCCAGGGCTGTGCACATTTCTTCCTCGCAGTCCATGTGCGGTGGCTCCGGGCTGCCAGATGTTGCTCCCTGTGCGGCGCTTTACGGGAAGGAGACAGGCTTGCTCTAACACACACAATAAGTCAGCAGTCCCATTTGTATTTTTGCATATTTTTAAGAGTACTTTTAAAGAAAAAAAGTGATTTCCCTTTAAAAACGTGATGGCCTGGTACCATGTGGTGTTGCTTCCTCCGAGCACTGTAAGTTAAATGTATAGATTAAATTGGACAAGAGAAACATGTTCAGTGTGTGGAATGACTGTATATATGTATGTGTATATATATGTATATATACACATATATATATGATCATGTTTGTCTAAAACATAAGGTACGTACAGTATATACAGCTGCAGTGCACTGAGCAAAGTCCTCCTCACAGCTCGAAGGTGACAGTGATCACATCCATTCCATAGGCAGCTTGATGTGTGGCTACATGAACTTTACCAGCTTTCTTGTCTTCTTTCCATGAATGAGAAAATGATTTTCCTTCTCTGGGTTGCACAGTTTTTGTTCTGCACTTCCTCAAAGTTAACTGTAGAATCCAGGACACAAACCATTATTAGTAGGCAATACAATTTTAGACTATATGGAGGTATGTAGCCTCTTTTAGAAGTCAGTGGATTGATTGTGTTTTTATTTTAAATTTTACATTCATTAAGGTGCCTCGTTTTTCCTGACTTTGTCCATTAACATTTATCCACATGCCTTTGCAATAACTAGGTTGTGAAAAGCTAACAAGTATTGTAACAATAACCTATTGTTTGAGGTGCTTGCAGTTGTCTTAAAAATTAAAGTATTTTGTTTTTCTCCCCCAGACATTGCCTTGGTCTTTGCCCTGTATTTGAAGGGATAGAATCAACGTGCGCTGGCTCAGTGTGTACTGTCACCAGAAGTAAAGGGAACAGCAGCGTCCCTGTGGCAGCAAGTGTAGTTGTAGAGTGTGAATTAAGGTTTTTGGTAAGGACATTAGTACATGTTTTCTAAGGCCAGAATGGATTTAGGAAAGAGGTTAATTCTAGATACATTATCTAGAATTTCAGTAATTCTTTTTTATCCAGGCTTCATCAAAAACCATTCTAATTGCATTTTGCTTGAGCTTTTCAAACATTTTTAAAAACACCATTCATTCTGAGGGAACAAGACACATACTCCTCCTAGGAAGTAGCATTGTATCACATGTTTCTGTGAGGTAGAATATACCATTCTATTCTGAGATGTGCATGCTGTTTTCCTGATGAGGCTTAGGTCTCTACGTCCGTTCTTTGACAGAAGTTGGTCATAGGCCGGTGGTGCCATGATTTCCATAGGACATATCCTTGCAAGAACTACAGAGTACGTTTATATCCCCCTGTGTCTAGAATAAGTATCAGAATGATTGTACACTTGACAAATTTATCTTAAGTTTCAGTTCATATTGGAAAAGAAACTAGATGATTATTGTATTAGGTACCATGTGGCTTTTAGCGATTCTTGGTGGCTGCTTTGTTAGAGAATGCATCGGGCTGGGGAACTTCTGGTCATGCTAAACATGAGCCAGTTCACTGAATTGAGTGGAGTGTCCTTACTTTCCCCACATGAAGTCTTCATGGAACATCACAAGCAGTGGTCACGTGTGCTCGGGTAGCAGAGCCAGAAGCTGGCTGGCTGGCTGGCTGGCTGGCAATTGGCAGGAGAGCTCCACAGAGGAGAGCAGAGGTGTCTATGGAGAGCTGCAAGAGGCACAAGAGGCACACACCTTTTGGGTGAAACTGATTCGCCGCTGCTTCTTTCCCTGGACCAGATGTAACTTATAAGGAAACTTTCCATGAGAGCAGAGAGCTTGTTTCTTTTTATAGTTCCACTTTTTTCTCCCCATTTTCAGATGAATGTTTGGTAGAGGCTAGCATTTAATTAAGGATTTTCCTTCATCATCATAACATTATTTAATACTCTGTAGTTTGTACATGAGTTTCTGTATGCTTTAATTCTATAGCAGGCCATTCTGAAGCAATGAGCAATCAAGAATGCTCAGGAGGGTCCTTTTAAAGAGATAAATATTGGTATTTAATGTAAGAAACTATCAGGTGATGGATGATGTAAAGCCATTTCTTCTCAAATGTTTGTGAATGCCATAAGTACAATTTTGCTTCACAAGTCAAGGATGGCAAAATTGATTTGTGTTTTAAAACCTGAAGCTGATGAGCATTTGAACCCTAAAAATGTGCTGTATTAATGCACAATCATAAGCTAATTTTCAAAAGGAAATGAAAATTAAAAGCATAAAACATGACTTAAATGACTACCAGATCTCAGTCATTCTTAGTCTGTTTACTCTTTTTCTGATGCCCAAATCATGCCAAGTAATTTGGATAGTGAAAACTCTGTTGATGTGGTCACTGATACTGGATATACTAATTAGTACTCCTGACAGAAGGCGAAGGCTGGGGATTTTCATTTTTCCACCATCAGAAGTAGTAGTTTGTATTTCAGCCATAGTCACCTGAGAGGCCATCTTCGTTTTACTGATTGTCTTTCTTAGTTGTGTATTCCCAGGCGAAATTTAAAGAAATTTATTTCCCATAACTGTACAAATTTAAAGAACCTGTGCATAGATATGAAGCATACACTTTTAAAATCATTTTTGATTAACCAATATGACATTTAGTCATGTTCTCAAACATGCAAATTAGATATTCCTGTGTTTTAGAAGGCAGACTATTCATATCTTCTTGAAAACTGTTACAAATTGCAGTCTGTCTTGTGTAATGCGTTAGTGGTCTGGTTTAATTCTGTATGATGCCTGAGTATTAAGGCGCGGGCTAGGTGGCTCTTCTGCAGAAGGACATGCAGGAACCATTGCCAGCACGGGGGCTTACTGCCGCTGCCACCCAGGGAAGGTTGTGGTTGATGAGGAAAAGCAAAGGCTCCTTACAGAGTAAGACCACTTAAGCAGACCCAAGAGTAGAAGGACAATTAGCTATACAGGACAATTTGGTAAAACTGACATAATTGTGATTTATTAACATGAATTAAAATGCCCAACCAGTGCTTCAATGTGACAGTATATTTAAAATAAAAAAGAAATTAAAGACCATATACTGCACTACTTTCACAAAGATCACACAGTTTTGCAAAAGACCTGTCATATGTACAATGCTATATATCAAATGAAAAAGAGCAGTAAGCAATTATATACGCAAAAGAAATGTAGTATTTACAGTTTGTCAGAACATTAGAAATCATCTGTACATTAAATTACATTTGGCTTGGAAATAACTGATAAGACAAAATAAGCCATATCCACACCAAACTATAAAAAAATCTGTATTGCATTTTATACCTAAGATGCACTCTCACAGAACTGCTGAACCCCCCAAAGAAGAAATTCCTCATAGTGCCAGTATGTAGCTGTGTACTTAATGCGTATGTATAAAATAATAGACATTCACTAAATGAATTAAGTGCAACAATAAAATTTAAAGGTCATGTAGCATCAAATCTACTGCCAGAAGAACAGCTGGAATGTTGATGTACAAAATAAAGATACCTAATACTGGTTTAACAGCACATTTTAAAAGAAATTTTAAAAAGCAAAAATGGGGAAAATACAATGAAAGAGCACTGGTTTGTTTTTTTTTTTATACAAAGTTTCATGTACAAGCTTTAAAAAGTACCTTCATAGGTACATATGAAATATACAGTTTATCTTACACAACATTTTAAAAAATGTTTTTGAAACGAGTCCATTTTAATGCCACCCGGAACCATGGTAATTGTTCTGAAATGTTGGTGGCACCTGTGCTCTGTGAATGGGGATCTGCCCGGGCACCGGCGACGCCTGCTGAGGTCCCTGCACCCCGTGCGGCAAGGCCACTGGGCCGGGGTGCGGGCAGAACCCCGAGGCAGACGGCGTTGGAATACTGTTTGGTCCTTGGGGCTGGAGATGAGGACCCGCGACGGAGAGGGGACAGTGTGGCCCTGAGGCAGACGGCTGGTGCTGGGGCCCGGCTCCTAGGGCGCTGTGGTGCGCGGCCGGCGCGGGGTAGGGCGGCGCGGCTGCGGGGAAGAGCGGCGCCCCTTGGTGTGGCGGGTGGTGCAGGGCGGGCGCCGAG